TGTAATAAAATTGAGTGATGCGACTTAACATTTGAGTCTGACAAAGGGATGATGGGTGAGGTAAGTGATTGGTGATAGTTTTGAGAGAAAAAATATGACTGAAATAAAATTCAAAATATGAGCTGTTTTATTATATAAATATCCGAAATAAGAAGAATCTATATAATAAAGTAGTTTACAATTCAAATGTCAAAAGATAAATCAAATGACTTTTGCTATTCGCGGTTGAGATCACTTTAAATTTTATTTTAAAGTTAATCTAATGGCTAATAGTAATACCCTACATTTAATAGAAAAAATAGACCTTAAGGGTGTGTTTAGAGTCACTTTTTAAAAGTACTTTTAAAAATTATTTCTCATAAATACTTTTAAAAAAAAAATAGTGTTTGAAACTGTTCCACCACTACCTCTACCACCACCACCACCACCACCGCTGTCACCTCCACCATCGCCACAACCACCACCACCATCGCCACAACCACCACCACCATCGCCGCTGCCACCACCACCATCGCCACCATTGTCGTTGCCGCCACTACCACCACCGTCCTTGTCGCCACCACGATCATTACTACCCACCACAACCATCACTGTCTCCTACCATCACCACTGTCGCCCACCACCTCTCACCCCCACTACAAACTGATGCTTAAATTATTTCATCTATTCTCTATATTTGTGATTTGATTTTGGATATAAATACAAATACGTTTATTATTTACTATTTTTTATTATTCTGTGTCTTCAGGCACAGGCAATAACTAGTACTCTTACATGCGACAGAGTTATACGTAGAATAATACACGCAGGCCTTATTCAAACATTCATCCAAACATGATATTGTATGCCCCTTGTATATTGCCCTATTTTCAAAAACACCCCTTGTATTTTTAGAAACTTCACCAACACCTCTTATTGGTGTTGGTCAGTTAACCTAAGTAACGGAAATCATCTTTTTACCAAATTGTCCAAAAAATTTAGAGCAATTTACTTTTAACTAAGAGACACAGCCATTTTGCCCACTCATTTCTAGCACCTCCACCCCTTTCCTCACCCTTAATCACGTCATAGGTGACTATTCTTAACCGAGGTGCTTTATAATAGCAATTTCAACTTTGAAAACTACATATGCTCATATTTTTTAATTTGGGTTCGAGTCTAATTAGTTTGTAAGACTTGCTTTACTATATGTTTTGAAGTAATGGAAGAGAAACGAGCAATTTGGGTGGGTTACTCTCTTGTATGTGTTACCGGTGTGTTATAATCTCGCACTTGATGCTACGTGTGACGGATTAAGAAGAAAAATGAAGAAGTAGTTTTGTTGTGTGTGTGATGGAATAAGAAGAAAGGTATTATACACTTTTTAGGGAAAAAAAATGGCATGACATCATCATTTTTGATTTGTCAATATTGAAAAAAAAAATTTAGATGTTCGGATCAGTTTATGTGCATCTTGATTAATTTTCTTCCCCGTCTGATCAAAGGTAAATCATTCATGTCGGAATTAGGGTATTTATGAGTGATGAGCCCAAAATCAACTAGATCAAGCCCAATATACCAAGAGGAGCCCAAGGCAAAATATATCAAAAGGAGCCCAAGACACCAGCACCTAAAGGAGACCCAAAGGGGACACCTGCTGTAACACCCCAACTCAAGGTACAATATCTGTAATCCCTGTTTATTTCTGTCATACACCTTTCTTTATGTAAAAATAAGCATATAAAAAAAATCACCAAACCTCTTAGTGATATAGCTTGCCATGAGCCCTGCTTATTTACAAACCGTAATATTGATCTCAAAAATATGACATAGAATAATACAATTTAAATTTAATGGGCAGATAAAAATGAACTCCATGATAGCATCCCAATCAACCCTCTAGACTCGGCAATGGACTCCTCACGTTGCTATGATTTTTCTTGAAAAGTCATTAAGACCATTAGTAAAAGCAAAGATGAAATTAATATTTAAGAGCACAACAAGTGATAAAAGAAACTTTCTTTATTTAGGAACAACCTTAACCAATAATTAAATACTTACTTTCAAATTACACTTCACCTCATACATATTCGTTTGCATCGCCTAGACATAACCTGTATATATCACATTGACAAAATATACAACACATATTTTTTTACATAATTAAATTATTCCTCACAATGACTACCCCACACCCAGACAAACTAATCGCCTTGTAAACAACAACCGCCACACATGTTATATTTGGGCCACATGTATCACCAATTTGTATCACCTCATAGATATCATTTATCAGTAGGACAACTCAAACCACATTAATGGTTTTCCTTCAGATGACTCACATCACAGAGAGTTTTTTGATCACGTTACTTAGACAACTCCACCACATAATCAAATCCCGTCACATAAACAACTCAAGCCATATAAATACTTCATGTTACTTAAACCACTGAAATCACATAATTCTCTCTCATAATTTAAACGACTCTCGTAATGTACCATGTGTCCCCGATCAATTAATTATTCCCAACAATAATTATAGTAAAAACATATGTTTAAAAGTCTAATAAATTATCACAAAAAATTGTAGGGTAGTGCACCTACCTCGAGTAAAAATCTACATCGATGTCGATTCCTTCTGCCGGGTCCTTTAACGAGACGTTCCTTGATGTAGATATTTCTGACCCTACCACACATATGATTATAATTGTGTTCAAGTATTTTACATGTATCCGTTAATGTCCTCAATACTTAATTTATATGTGCATACTCACACTTACTCCAACATAATTTATATGTTATAAGACCTGATCAATCTCTTTTCTAAGCTCAAGTGGATCACTATTACTATTTTAAGTATTTAAATTATTTTCACGTTAATTATATAAAGAGGCTAACTTCACTATTATAGAGTAATTTCCTAAGGAGAAATAAATCATAATATGTTCTACGAATCCTTGATAATTGCCTTAAAATCTCAATTAAAATAATCAACTCGAACCAATTGACATAATCTACTTAAAATAATCTACTCGCCTAGAGTATAACAACCTATTCAACCGGGTAAATTAATCTATTCGATTCGATTAAATATATCTAATCGTGCCAAATAAAATAATCTACTCGACCCAAATTTTCCTACAACATAAAATTCATTAATTTTAGAGATTATCCACTAATATTTCTTTTTTACCAGAATTCCGTTGAAATCTTTGACTACATAACTAACAATTCAACACTCCAATGAATTAAAATTACTGGTACACTATTATAGTTTAATCCTATGAAATGCATAGTTTAAAAATTATTCTTGCATTTAATTTATTCTCATATAGCTATGGAAATGTAACAAAAGACATGCTATTTCTTACCTTACATGGGGATGCATATCCAAACCCCCAAATTTTCTAACATTGAATTTTTTTCCAACCCTTTCTTTTGCTTCTTCTTTTCCCTTCCTTCTTCTCCAGGTCAAAACCTTGTCTTCCTCTCTTAGCCGAGACTTCTAAGTGTAAAGGAAGTCTTGGCCTTTGTTGTTGTTGTTTTTTTTTTTTTCCTTCTTTCCTTTTAATTTTTTTTTTTTGTTTTGTTCATCCCTTTTTATAATTTTTTTCCAAGACTTGGTTGGTGTGCCCACTCCTCTCCCTTACCCGCCAATTTCTTCTCCCTCCTAATGCCATCCACAAGTCTATTTTAAGTGGAGTGTCCATCATCTTTGCATACACTGTCCATCATCCACAAGTCTATACACTATATTGCATGATAGTCCTTGCATGTGTGTATATATATAATATATTGCACCTTAGTCCTTGCATGTATATATTTATAACATATATTGCACCTTAGTCCTTGCATGTGTCTTTATATATCATATATTGCACCATAGTCGTTGCATCTATCTTTATATAAGCACATTCAAGGTATACATTAAATCATATTGCTAGTCTTTAATCCACGTATTGTATACATTGACATATATTTGTAGTAATGTGTTGGTATCACATGCTAGCCACCCCACTTAATCACATGTGCGCTAACATACTTCAAATAATTTTATTATGTCACATGCAACATATCCATTTAATTTTTCACATCTAATTAATATTCCCTTTTTATTTAGTAGTTCGCCATCATGCACGTTCATATCACATGCAAACATACTCGTAATAATATTTTGTATGATTGTCATACATGTGTGGGTCTTACACCTGCTCTCTTTTGTTCCATGCTCCCTCTCCTCCGCACCACCTCTGTAGTATCCCTCCTCATTTTGTCTCTCCAACTCAAGTCCAACCCAGTTCAGAATCTTCTTCCGATGGAATAAGAGCACAAGGGAGAGAATATTGGAATATGCTCGAAAATTTAATCTTACCTTAGTTGTACTTACTAAAATAGTAAAAGTCTCCTCCCTCACATCACCGTCTCATCGTCTTACTAACCTATATAATGAAAGTCATCTCCACATAAAGCGCATCACCTTGAAATTTTTACACACCTCTCTACGCACATTACTCCTCTCTTCTAAAGCATTGTAATTCCCTTGGAGAATACTCTCTCGGTGACTTTTATTTATCAATAAAGAACACTGCCCACCGCTGTCGTTCTCGAAAGTGGAGTGGGTCACCCGAACTGAACCACTATATATCTTTGTGTTGACTTTTATTTACCGTTCTGCCATTGATCATCTTATTTATGGATCATTAATTGCACTCTTACACATTTTTTACTATTGATTTTATATAATATCGATTTGTGCATCATCAATGAGAATTAATTTTTGATTTACAGTTCGTTCATTTTACTATTTAAATTCCACTTAGAGTTGAGTGCAGTGAAATTTCAAAAAATGCAAAAACTGTTTATTTAAAGATAGAATTATCTACAAGGATATGGATAAAATTTTTCATTAATTACTCTTATATTTATAAATTAAAATAAAATTAATTATTCAATTTCATCCTATACCATAACCTAACCAAACATGGCCAAATGGGAAAAAAAGAAAACAAGGATTGGGGCAGTGTGAATGGGCGGAAGAACAAAATGGCGAGAAGTCATGACTCGCATACACTTGTCCACAACGAACAGGAAGTCATACAGGCAGGTCGTTGGGCTCTTTTGCCCTTCAGTCTTCGCTGAGAGCTTGGAGAGAAAAGTTGAGCTTTACTTCTTTGACCCGAGAGCACCAGTAGTTTCTGTCCTCTCCATTAAATAATTCTCATCAACAAAATCGGCTCTCAATTCTCGATTGAACCCTAACTATTCAAATTGGTAAACACCCAGTAAGTCTCTCTCTCTCTCTCACTCACTGTCTTTTGTTTTTAACTTTCACGGAAAATTAAATAATTTAGTGTTATGTGAAAGTTTATTGCTGGTCTTGGTTATTTCAACCAAAGATTTGATTTTTCTTTTGAGGTATTTGGTTGGTTTTTGGAACTCTTGATCACGAAGTTCTTTGTTTATTGTTTTGTGGAAATAGAGATGATTTATGTTGGATTCGAGAACCCTTTTGTGTATTCTTTGATTTTGGGAATTAGGGTTGTGATTTCTCTGGTGGGTTTCTTTCAAGTCTTTGCAAGTTCTTTATTTCTTGCACGGGTCTTATGAATTTCTGGTTGTGGGGGATGAAAGATTGTGTAAACCCAATTGGGTCTATGAGTTTTCGCCAATTTGGGACTCAGATTTTGTGATGTTGTGTTTTTACTTTGTCTTCCATTTTCAGTTGCCTCTATTCAAAACTGTATTTTTGTTCTCCGCCCCTGTTCTGTGTGTGTTGCTATATAGCCTATATTGAGTATACTAGATTAGGTAATTGACTGATGTCTCTTTTTTGATTAATCGTACTTTTCTTTTGGCAGTTACACGCGAACTCAAATTTTTGGTTTTTAATTTTTCGAACTTCATAGTACTCAAAAGTTTTGGACATCCTTGCATGTTGAAGGGAAATCTTTGTAATACTTCATGATTTGCAGCTTGCTTAGTTGGGTTTGCTGTTTGTCGTTGGTATTCCACTTTTGTAACATACCTTATTTTTTCATATGGGCATTTTTAGAACTGTGTGGAGTGCTGAACAGAAGTAAGTCTACTTGGCTCTTTTGTGTTCTCAGGATTACAACTTTTAATTACGATTTCTCTTGATGTTAGTCTACCTAATAGGTTAAGGTTTACCATTTTTTCAGTTCAATACTTCCTCTTTGTACTTTGTATTTGCTCCCTTATTACCATCAAAAGTGCTGAATTTTGTTTGCTCTGTGTCAGTTTTGCATTTGTTGCAGTGATTGAATGTTACAAGGAAGGGTAAAGTTGTTGTGGCACCGTGTTTAAAGTTCTATTATATGGAGAACATCAATCGAAGTGGCGTCTTATATGTGTAGCTCGATGTGGAATATGACTGGACTTTTCATGAGAATGGCACTGAAGAGCGCGCTATCTGTTCTGTTTGGTATTTACTTGTGGTTGTTGTTGGGTGTCACTTTCAGCTATGGGGCTATGAGTGATATTTATTGTTTGAGATCTATAAAAGATTCTTTGGAGGACCCATTCAATTACTTAAGCTCTTCGTGGGATTTCAATAACAACACCGAAGGTTTCCTCTGTAAATTTACTGGGATCGATTGCTGGCACCCTGATGAGAATAAGGTTTTAAACATCCGGCTTTCAGACATGGGACTCAAGGGCGAGTTTCCGCGTGGTATTGCAAATTGCACGTCCTTGACTGGCTTAGATTTTTCTAGCAACAAGCTCTATGGATCTATTCCATCGGACATATCTAAAATGCTCGAGTTTGTGACGTCCCTCGATCTCTCCTCAAACAATTTTTCAGGAGCAATCCCGTTGAACCTTGCAAATTGTTCCTATCTGAATGTCCTTAAATTGGATAACAACCAGTTGACAGGTCAGATTCCTGCAGAAATTGGCCGCCTTGGTCGAATCAAGACGTTTAGTGTAACAAACAACCACTTGACTGGTCCGGTTCCAATATTTAGCAATGCCACTATTCCAGCAGAGAGCTATGCCAAAAATGCAGGACTCTGTGGGGGTCCTTTACCTCCTTGCAAGGGCTCTTCAAAGAAAACTCATCCTGGAATCATTGTTGGGGCAGCTGGAGGTGGGGTGACTCTTGGAGCATTAGCTGTGGGTATTGGTCTGTTCTTCCTCTTGCGTAGAGTGTCCAAAAAGAAGAAGGATGACGATCCAGAAGGAAATAAATGGGCAAAGAGTATCAAGGGAGCCAAAGGCATCAAGGCAAGATGATTTAAATCATTGTTTTTGCTCTTAATAAACTCCCTATATTTTTTACTTGAAATTTCTATAATTGCCCTTTTGTTGCTCCTTCATACTGACAAATATTGTTATTTTCAGTTTTCAATGTTTGAGAAGTCAGTTTCAAAAATGAGACTTAGTGACCTCATGAAGGTTACTAACAACTTCAGCAAAGGCAATATCATTGGGTCAGGAAGCACAGGGACCATGTACAAGGCAGTGCTTGCAGATGGCACTTCACTTATGGTGAAGAGGTTGCAGGACACAAAACACTCGGAGAAAGAATTTTTGTCTGAGATGGCTACTCTGGGGAATGTGAAGCACCAAAACTTGGTTCCTCTTCTGGGTTTTTGCATGGCTAAGAAGGAGAGGCTTTTGGTCTATAAATATATGCCAAATGGTACTCTTCATGATAAGCTACATCTTGCAAGTGATGGTGGAAATAATATGGAGTGGTCCTTGCGTCTCAAGATCATGATCAGGGCAGCCAAAGGGTTTGCATGGCTTCACCATAATTGCAATCCACGCATCATCCATCGAAACATAAGTTCCAAATGTATCTTATTGGATGTGGATTTTGAGCCCAAAATATCTGATTTTGGACTTGCTAGGCTCATGAACCCTGTTGATACACATTTGAGTACTTTTGTAAATGGGGAGTTTGGAGATTTGGGTTACGTTGCTCCTGAGTATACACGAACTCTTTTGGCCACTCCAAAGGGGGATGTCTACAGTTTTGGAGTAGTGCTTCTTGAGTTGGTAACCGGTGAGAAACCTACCTATGTTTCTAAAGCCCCTGAAAGCTTTAAGGGAAATCTGGTGGAATGGATTTCACAGCTCTCTAGCAATTCTAAGCTTCGAGATGCAGTTGACAAATCTTTAGCTGGGAAAGGTTATGATGGTGAGGTTTTCCAGGTTCTTAAAGTTGCATGTAGTTGTGTACTGCCCACACCCAAGGAGAGGCCTACAATGTTTGAAGTTTACCAGCTTCTGAGAGCTATTGGAGAGCGATACAATTTCACAGCAGATGATGACATTTTGATGCCATCAGACACTGGTGTTGCTGATCACCTTGAGGAACTTATTGTTGCTCGAGGAGTAAAGGAGTATCATTGAAAAGGTACAATTAATCAAGATGTAGTATTGAGTGGCACCGGAATCAATGTATAATCATCTAAATAAATGTCTATATCCTATATAAGTTTAGTACTTCAGTTATCGATTTTGCTCGTTCTATATTTAATGTCACTGCAATATCTCACTCAACAATTTCAGGTGAATTTGTTGTTTATAACCTTCTGACATGTACAAATTTCTCTGTTACAGCATTTATTACGATTGCCAGTGTTTTAAGAATTGGTGCTACCCATGCTTTTGATGTGCATGCCATTATTATGCAGGCGTGTGTACATTTGCATCTAAAATGTTGCTGGCAAGGTAAAACAACCATTAGAGAAATTGTTCACCAATACATTCTTTGTTTCTTATCTATTACTTTCATTTTGTCTTTATTTGGTCTTTATCTTCTTCTTTTTTTTGTTTGCTGATTGTATTTTTGCTAAGGCTGAGGTTTATATTTTCTGATTCTTGACTGAGTAGATAAAAGATTAAGTCAGTTTTATGTTCAGAAAATCTTTCACCTTGGTATACAAAATCTAACTGTTTTCCAGTGAAGGATATTACTAGAAAGTAAAATTTTCGAAATGAATCTGAGAATTGCCTTGTGTTCAGACAGGTAAGTATGTGCCTTGATATTTCACCTCTGGAAAGAGGTTTTATTCTCTCCCTATAAAGAATCTGAGGATTGTTGATAAATAACAGAATGCTAAAGTATGCAAAAATTCAATGCCTAATTAATGCTACCATTGGCTGGGCATGGGCATATGTCAGTGAGATTTAAACCATAGGAGGGCGAATTCCTTTTTTTTTTTCTTTTTAAATCTATGGCATCTTTTGGGCTCTTTTAAGTGTATGTATAGTATTTGGTAGAGATCTTGGCATAATGAATTTCAAAGAGAAGCATAAAATGGTGCTTCCCTTTCATTCCATGCCAAAAATGGAAATGATGTGCATTTGTTGGTGACCAAACGGGGTCAATCTCATTTTTCCCCTCCATATATTACATCCTTGCTTGCTTATATACACATTTTATTAGATACTGAATCAAGTTGTCACGAATAAACAATATTTCTGTAACCCTGACACCAGTTGACCTAAAATTTTACATTAGTTTAAACGAACACTGTTGCGAACTAAATGCAATCTTAAATGACTTTTCTTAAATAGGTTCTTATTTTTATTTTTTGCTACTTCTTTTCATTTCCAGGTTTGTTTTTTCTTAAGTTCAAAACTTCCTCATGACATAATTAGCTGCTGCTTGTGCTTTAAAGTTAGAAAGTTGGAAAAAGTGCTGCAGGGGGGGGGGGGGGGGGGTGTGTTGTGGTGGCGGTGGCGGTGGTGATGGTTAGTCTATCACTGAAAAATGCTCCATTTGCTCTCCTCCCACGTTGGCCATTTGCTCAGCACAAGAGTTTTCGTCTTGTATATTGTGAATTAGTACATCCATCCAGGCTCCCAAAAACTCTGCAGTGAGGGTTTTCTAGGAATGGTCTTCATACTCCTAGGCAAGTCAACAGCATGGCTTCACTCAGACTCTATTGTTTCTCTTGGGTTTCCTTTGTTTCTTAACACCCAATCCTTTGTAGGTACCCATAGTACAGCACCAACACTTGAGGTTATGCCAGTTTCCTATCATCTCTGATCAGGCCACCAAAGCTTGGTTCTCCTGGGTTTCCCGTAGCAGCGTCTTATGAATTTAGCTTGTAGAAACTCGATGAGGGAAAGACCGACAAATAGTTCAGGCATTCTCTTAGTTCCACTCTGGTTGTTGCTTTCAGATTCTTAAGATGTTTTCTTGCAATACCTAGAAAAATCAGGGGTTTTTCTTGTTTTCCTTGTCAATCCTTCCTAATATAGCACAGAGCACAAATAGCTCCAAGGGATTCCTTTGAAACTTTTGACTTGAAACACTGCTGAGATTCAGCAGTTGTTCTGCGATTCTCTCTCTCGGCTGGTTGGAGAGAAGCATGTTGTTCCTAACAGGCCATAAAACGCCCTTGTGTTTCTGTGGCACTTTTTAACTTTCCATAGGAGTTAGGAGTATCATCCATTTTCAGTGAGAGATGTTGGTTATTTTGGGAGGAAACTTTACTGAATTGGAATACTCGGTGGTATGATGGGTTTGAATTGTGGCTTAGCAAGTTCAGGTAATAAATGAGTTGATATATCTGTTAAATAAAAAGATAAACACAACACGAACATGTTAAGCACGATTTTGTACATGATATGAACGTGACACGGTACAATTTTGACTATGCACAATTATAATCGAGTCTGGTGTGTGTGGGAACAGATTTTAACACCCTACGATTTAGATACGGTATAGACGCAACAAGACTAGACGTACTGACTGACAAGCTTAAGTGTGGCTGTTTTACAAAGGCTGCACGCCAATCAGAGGCATGTTGTTCCCATAAGATTCATATACTAGTTTAAAAGGTGTTATTTGGTAGAAGAATTAGAAGCAATATGATATGGGGCAATTATGGCACAGACAAAGAGAACTAGTCACCAAATAAATGAAATTGCAATATAGAGTCTTGTCCGAAGCTTTCCATGGCTCCCTGGGTGCTGTTTGTTAGCCCAAATCAACTTTAAAAAAAAAAAAAAAAAGCGACTTTTAAAAGACGGTATACAAAATTGAATTTAATTGTCAAAAATACATAGAAAAAAATATTTTATAAAAAAGTCTACTTAAGACATAGAAAGACTTGAATATTCTTTTATTGTAAATTTTAATAAAATAAAAACCTGAAATTTTGGAAAATTAAAACTCATAATAAATTCTCTCCATTTTTTCACGGATATGTTTTAAATTTTTTGAAATTTGACAACTAAAATTAAAGAGTTTTAATTATCTTATCTTAAAAAGTATTAAAATTAAATAATTTTGATTTTAGATTTAATTTAATCATATATGTGTGTGTGTGTGTGTGTGTGTGTGTGTAATATATGTTTATATAGATATGTATATACATATAATACTACAAAGTCATACTATGAAGTCTAGTTTCTATTATTCCTACACTGTTCTGACTCACTGTATTGATACACTTTAAATTTGTGTAATTCTTAAACTCTAATTTTTATTACTCCTATACAGTTTTGATACAATATATTAATAATTTTAATTTCACAAATCATTTAAAGTGTCTCAATATAGTATTATCAAAATAGTATTTGAGTAATAGAAACTATACTTCATAGCGTGAATTTATAGTATTATATATATATATATATATAAACACATATATACGTCACCAAATTAAATCTATTGTAAAATTAAAATTATTTGATTTTAGTACTTTTTAAAATAAAATAACTAAAATTCCTTAATTTTAATTGTCAAATTTAAAAAAATTTCAAAAACTTTGAAACATATTCCTAAAAATATGAAAGGATTTATTACGAGTTTTAATTTTCCTAAATTTCAAGTTTTATTTTATTATAACTTATATCTATATAATAAAGTAATTAGATTGTTTGTCTTAAGCTTTTCGCAGCTCAAATAGTTTTGATCCGATGATCCTAATTAGTTTTTTATTTTTTTTACAACTCTAAGACTTTCATATCTCATATAACTCTTATATATATATATATATATATATATATATAGACATACATGCGGAATTCAAAGGAGATAGATAGAAATGAAAGAGACTGATAAATACAAAATATTTCAATAAGAAAATAAATACTTACAACACTAGAACTACTGGTCTAGTGGAAATAAGCGGTAAATAAAAATGGCTTCTGAGCTCTTCTTTATCATTGAAGAAGGCTTTATAAGTGAAGGGTAGGATTACAAGTATTAGTGGCTTGTAATGTGATTTTGAAATCAGACTAGAGAGAGTGTCTGAAGTTCAAAAAACTTGAGGTATTCTAAGGAGAGGGAGTTGCCTTATATAGAGGTAAGAGACTCCGGATTCCCCTTGTGCAATCATTCTGCCTTTCTCTTTTACCCAGAGTAAAATAATTCACTTTTTGCTTTCGGCTAAAAAGTGGAGTAAGATTCTTTTACTTGGGTAACTAGGACATGCTGAAGGGACTAGTGGGTCCTGTCTGTCTGTCCTGAGAATCCATCTTTCGGTGGAAAAGCAGATTTATGGGCCCTACTTTTGTCTGTGAGAATCCTGCTTTAAAGAAAGGGGATCCTATGCAGACATATGATATTATTTTTACACAAAGTGGACAGCTTTTCTTTCTCTTTCAAAGAAAGTAGTGATTGAAGCCACTTTATGTAAATAATAATTCATGGGAGTGCAAGGTCAGGGGTGAGGTCATCAACATCAAAGTCTTCGATTCCTTCATAAGGGTCCTGAGCATATCCTGCTGGGAGTTCTGAGGAGGAAGATCCTTGGGAAGATGATTCACTGTCTGAGTCAAGATGTTCCAAGAGCTTTTTAAGGAGCTTTGCCTTGGATTTCTTTTTGCTGGACTTCTTTTTAGAACCTTTGGAACCTTTAGATGAAGATTGTTCTGGCTGAGCTTGTGTTATAGGAAAGTTAGCCTGGCTTGAATGAACGGGCAGTTCCTTCATAGGCGTTGCTGGTTGTAAGGGACCTGGAACTACTACTGGAGTTGGTACCCTTACAGGGAAGTCTTGTTTCACCATTGTGATAATGTCACCATGCTGAAACCTGGGCCACCATTTGGCATAGAATTGTCGGGTCAAATTGAATCCCACAATTTCCCATTGCTATTTGAGTATCCATGGGACTTTGTACCTGCAAAGAAATATTAGTAATAAGGGTAATGGGGACTCCTGTTTACTAGGACGGTAAAGGGAGTAAAAGATTTTAATCTGATCTTTAAGATCAGCTGGAAAGATTTCATCAATGGGACCATGTTGATGCCACCACTGATTAAACCATGCAGGAATATGACTTTTGAAATCTTTATGAAAATTCAAGAACCAGGAATGGGACAAATCCTCATTCTGATAAAGTAATATTTTCGACCATGACTCAATGTAGTCATAGTAATTGAATTGTCTGGTGTGAAAAGGAAGTTCTCGGAGTAAAGAAGGGTGAGAACCCCATTCCTCAACAGAAATGATTTTGGTAATATACAAGCTATGATAGATAACCTTATTAGGGTTTATCTTATCAAGGATGGGCTTGGTAAAGATAGATTTAGTGTAATAGAGAATATCTTGGTAAAAACTATGGGGTTTTTCCAAGTCTACTGGAATATAGGTCCAACCTGTTGGGAGGTAGGCCTTTACAAGATCTTTTGGATCCTTGTATTTAGAATGGGCTAGTTCAATGGCTAGAACATTCTGGGAATGGGCTTTGACATAATCAACCTTTGGACCTGATTGGGCTACAAAAGGTTGTGAGGCTTTATAGGGGT